TAGTGTGCCTGTATTCACTCCGTTGAGAAAAATCGGAGGAATTGCGGTCTATTTTCCTGTAGACGGAACATACTGAACGTGTTCTGTCTTTCGTGTTGGAGCAGTTTATAGGTTGATCAGTAGATGTGGTGTTTGTTAGCCCTTCGTCTCAACTATTACTGGGCCACTGAGCTCGTTGGCACGGCCACTACACCCTTGGGTCATGGCTCGCAACTCCTTGTTTATTTTTATTTAGACTTTTTTGTTACACTTGTAATATAAAATCATTAAGAGTGTACGCCAAAGTGTCTTTGTTCTTAGAGTAGTTTTTTCATCTTTATTTCTTACACCTTATAATTTTCATGAAAAATGGGATAGATGAACAACTGAGATGAGGCCAAGTTACATAGGGGACGAAAAATAAAACATTGATACTTGATCCTACAAATATTGGAACCTATTTCAGAAGTAAAACTCTGACTTTATATTACTCTTTAACCACTGCTCTTGGATGGGGTTGAAAAATTCGAGAATTCTCTCAATTATGGTTTACTTCTATGGCATCAAATCAGAGAACTGAAAAGCGAAGGGCAAATACCTAGAACTTAGGATTAGAGTCGATTTTCTTTTGAAAAAGAATGTTTCACCAGCTACGCCATTTATAAAAAGAAACTTTTGCGCTGTTTTTTAGGTCCGATATGCTTTTCGCAAATCGTCATTAATCGAGGTTATTTTCATACTTTTGGAAATATAGTCTTTTTTAAACGCCTTAATCTTGAAACGAGTGAAATATCGATATTGACCACTGGTTAGTTTAGCATTTGCTGATTCCAATCAGTAATACTTTCAGCGTGCTTTTCGCTGTTGTTCTCCCTGGTGTTTCTCATCAAATCGTCACAGTTGCGATCTTCCAGTGAAGAGGCCACCATGGTGGTTGAAGACTACTAGGCGCAGTTGTTGTTGTAAATTATTTTCCGTATTCTGTTGTCATTCACCATATCAGCCTGAGAAGTAGTGTACTTGGAACGTCACGCGTAGCGGCATCCTCAGGCGCTCAGAGCTCCTTAGAATGGCCATCATTAGAAGTCGGATTTGATTGTTCCGATTCAGTCCACTTTACGGTAACTTTCTCGAAATGTTGTCACTCCTCATCCATATATTTGCTCGATTTCAATATCAGATTCTAAGAGAGGGTAAGCAGGCGATGGGAATTTCCTCAAAAGTCACCATTTCTATTCGAGTACCAATTTGCCATTTATTTTCCCTTAGACAGAAGCACTTTGCCCTGCAGTTTACGCCAAATTTGTCTCAGTTCATATCGCTTATTGCTAATCTGTTTCTCGATTATCTTCTAAAATTATTATTTATTACGATATGATCGTTTTTATGTGTATATCATGACTGAACTCAGGTAACACAATAACAAAAATCTAAACGTTGTGTTTTTTCTTCCAGCTGAAGTTAGCGTCGAACCGCGTAGAATTTGTATGGTCGGTTAATCTTTAGCCTTTCCTTAGCATTCCATTTTTCTTCCATTCCTTTTCTGATCATGTCTTCTTTCGATTCGGCCAGCGATTCGATTCGGCCCAATCTTTACATAAATGGTGTCTTTGTAGAATAGTTACGAGTAAGTTTAATAAGTTCATCTGAGTGCAGCTTTTTGTTCTACAAATTGTTGCAGTGCCCCTTCTATGGCTTGCCGAATAGTGATGTGCCACAGTTTACGATGTGCCTTCATACACCGGTGAAAACAGAATTAGATGAAGATTAAAAGTTTCCTTGTTATCTATTTGAGTTTAGTATATGCTCAGGAGTTAACATAACATAATTTTCTAATCTTTCAAAACAACAGCACAACCTTGTAAACTAGTTGTGGGATACCCTTTACCTAAGAACGGTAAAGGCTTCATGAAAAGTGTTGTGCTTTTCGTACCTCTTGAGTGAGTTGAGTAAACTGAACACCTTTAGTGTGGGCAACGGTGCAAAGTGGAAATTTTATTAAGGTTCGCTCTTGTCATCTGATGACCCAACATTACTACAGATAGTACAGGCAATGTCTATATTCATAGTTGAACGACCCAATTCCGAGGCAACTTTTTTCTGGTAAACAAGGAATGGCGACGCCTATGCCGAAGAACGGCGTAGCTCTACCGTTGCATCTTCAATTTGGAGAGCTCACTGATGAAATAGACCCAGCTACCATGATGCTCAGATATTTTTAAAACTTACACCCCAGGCCAGATCGAATCGCTATTACCCAATTGGCACCAGACTTGTCTTCTCGTCTTCTTCCTTTTCTTGGTGAGGGAAACAAAGCATGGGAAAATCAATGTTGCCCAAATTGTTCTGCCTACTCTAAAGAAGCAACGTTCTCAAACAACACCAATATTTTATGCTATATATTATGTATTATAAACACAGGGAGGCTTCTTACGTTGTGCACCATGCAATACACATGGGCTTGACCCCACGTAAAAGCTCATCACCCATTTATCCGCGATCAGCAATTGGTACCACACTTGTCTGGGAGGATAGCCGGTTAGTCGCAAGGCTACGTGGCGCGTCCCAGGTTGCGGAAATGGGTTTAGTCGAGAACCAAAAGCGACCATTGCTTCCCTTAAATGCAAGAGGATCCAGGGGATCGACTCCCTGTTTTTGCTGCGCTGATTTTGCACATACTTTCTGTATTTGCAAGGCGTATTCATACATGCGCGTGTGGGTGCGTTGTTGTTCGTGCGGCTCATGCGGATTGTATTCTACAAATTAATTCGGCCAAAAGCCCGCAATCAGGTGACTAGGAAGTATATGGGAGGCGGTTAAGAGTCCCCTTCAACAAATAAGCTCCATGTCCACTCTGGGAGAACCTGGCAAGCTACCAGTGAGTATACCCAGCCCCACGTTCACAGCCCAGCAAGCTATACGTGCGTATCAGAAGATGCTAAACACAGTGAAAAAAAGACAGGCCTCATTTCCCTGACCCAGAAAGAGCACACAATTTCGCAGCGTTGGGTAGGAAGAGTACGGAAAGCCTGCTAAAATCTCAGGGCCAATGGAATCCGCCTGGATTTCAAAGAACTATGGTTACGATCTGTGCCCATAATTCACGTACACTTGCATCCGAGTCCTCGATAGAAGACTTGCTCATGCCTCCAAGATGGACAAAGTACGACTTCATTGGTCTGACCGCGACGAGACGACGCCACTCTTTTAACGCCGTTGACACCGAAGAGGAACTCCTCCTCGGAACAAGCGACAGTAGAGGAGTCGGCGGCGTCGGCGTTCTCGTCAACATGAGTTTTCCTATGTACATCGATTCGTTCGAACAACTTACAGCCCGAATCGGACGTTTACGATTAAAAAGACGTGGATCAATTCCGGCTTTGACAAACTTCGTCGTTTACGCGCCGACATCAAACTACGACGAAGAAGAAGTCGAAGCGTTCTATATGGACTTGGAGAAGTTCTACAGTTAAGACCACGCGTTCTTCAAGGTCATCATTGGAGATTTCAACGCCAAGATTGGACCAAGAAGAACGTTTGGAGAACGTCACATTGGGGCTCACGGATTAGAATGGAACGAACAGGGTGAGCGGCTATCTGACTTTATTATGGTGACCAAGACAATCCATGGTAACTCGCAATTCCAGAATCCCCACCCTCAGCGCTGGGTATGGGAGTCTCCCAATAGGGAGTACCACAGCATTAATAGACCACATAATAGTAAATAGAACGTTTTGCCTAACTGATGTCGCTGTTGTCCGAAAATTCTACACGGGACCAGACCACCGCCTCCCTCCTGCAAAATTCTATTTCTCGCCGAAAGGAGAAAAAGTCGGTGAATTCCAAAACCGAAGTCCCAGAACCACCGCAAACTGGGACATATTCGATTCATTAGTCGGTTGTTGGGAAGATACCGTTGTCGATAACATCGACGAAGAATATAATCGCCTCATTCAACATCTTCACGTTAGCTCACGCAATGGAAGCTCAGAGTTCGAAAGTCACCAAGAAACGTCTGTTTCCAGAAACACTCGAGCTGATATGCCAGCGTGGAATCGCACGAGCTGCAGGCAACAGCGAACTAACGTCCGAACTTGCAAAACAATGCAGACAGGCGATAAAAGAAGATCTTAGAGAGAGAAGAGCAGCAGTAATGACCGAGGTTGCAGAGGCTGGGAAAAGCATTTGCAAAGCCCACCGAAGCTTCGCCAATTACAAGACCAAAATTATTGCTCACCGGCGGCCAAACGGAATCATTCACGAATACTACTCAGATCTCCTCGATAGCCACGTCCACCTTCCGCCATATGAAATAATGGAGGATGGATATGTTGTGCCACCGGTTCTGCCTTCCGAAATCCGATGTGCCACTTCGTCGGTGAAAAATCGAACAGCACCAAGTCCGAGCAGTGTAAGACCGGAACACCTGAAAAACCTTCCATCAGTCCTCGTAAACACACTGGTTCGGCTCCTCACACGTTATCTGTTTGAATGCAAGGTCCCTACTAAGTGGAAGACCAGCAAGGTCGTGTACAAGAAGGGTGACCTACACGATAATGGCAACTATAACCCAATCTGCTTACTGTCCGTCGTCTACAACTTTTCACTCGAGTCATGCTAAACACGATTGACAGAACACTAGACAAAGAGACAGCCATGTGAGCAAGCATGGTTTCGAAAAGAATTTAGTAGGATGAACCACATCGACACGGTAACAAGGCTCATTGAAGTATCGCAAGAGTAAAAGAAGACCGCTCTGCCTCACGTTCCTCGATTTACAAAAGCCCTTTGATTCAGTTGAGATAGAAGCAGTCTTGGAAGCTCTTGATAGTTAAGGAGTCCCTGCTCAGTAAATAAAAATTTTCCGTGAGCTGTACAAAAATTTCACAACCAAGGTATCACCATTCGAGAACGATATTAACATCGAAGTCAAAAGAGTGGTAATGCAAGGCTATACCACCTCGCCAATATTATTTACCGCCACCCTCCAGAACGTCATGTGAACATTGGAATGGGATAATATGGTAGTAAAAATCGACGGTCGGCAGTTACACCATCTGCGCTTTGCTGATGACATCGTCCTTATAACACCAAACATTAGCAAAGCGGAACGTATTATTGACGACTTTGATAAAGCTTTTGGAAAGATTGGTCTTCAACTAAATCTCACAAAAACGATGTTCATGAAGAACGGATTGGTATCGCATGCCCCATTCACGCTCAACGGAAAGAATATCTCCGAGTGCTCCAGTTTCATCTATCTAGGTCGGGTAATCGGGAAATCAATATGATTTTCTATCCTATCCTATCTATATGAACGAATATCCTTGCTCGACAGCTGAGCAGAAGGAAACCAGCGGCTTGGGAAGCCTTCAAGAGCATCGAGGATGTAGTGAAGAGAACAAAGAACACCCGACTCCGTGCCCGTCTTTTCAACTCAACGGTACTCCTTTTCCTAACGTATGCGTCAGAAACCTGGTCGCTGGGTAAACAGGATTAAAGGTCACTCCAGCGATCAATAATCAAAGATGCCGTTCTGTGCGCCAAACAGTCGAAGATAAGATGGGCCGTACACGTAGTACGTATGAATGATAACCGATGGACGAAGCCGTTAGTGACTTGATTTCTCGGGATGTCAAACGTACTGCAGGAAGACCACCGACTCGATGGTCAAAATTCTTCACAAAGAGTCTAGAAGAAAGATATGATGCTCGACGAGTCGCTAGAGCTAGCAGAACCCACTGGGCTACTCTTGCACGCGACAAGGAAAAATGGAGGATTTACTGGTGCCCGCTCGAGTCACTCGACGATCAACGGGACTACAGGTGATGCAGCTGATACGCATATATGTATATAATATAACGATAGGATAAGCGTTTGGCGTGTCCTGGTAATTCATTTTTTTTCACGTTTTTCTAAACTCCCACAAACCACATCGACTGCAATTTGGTCGTTCCTTGGAAAACAGAAAAAAAAGCAATCATTGGGTAGACGAGCGATGAAGCCGGTCAATATCAGATGAGGAAATACCGGTACCTCATGTTTGGACTTCAGTTTTTTTAAACTAATCCATTTGCCAGTGATTAAAGCATTAAAAAAGTGAGCCAGATTTAGCATTGCATTCCAAATTGCAGACCAAGAAACCTCCAAAATGGGCACACCAGCAGCTTAGATGACAGGATAATCACCGACAGGACATATAAAACCTTAGCCATTTTTCTATTCCTGATTCCAACCTAAAACTACTCATGTCACCAGTATTCTACCCTTTGTTTCATTTTCTTTATTTCTACAAAAACAATTTATTTATTTCCCTAGAACGGTAGTTTGCATCATGTTTTACCTGATTGGTCTATAAGAAAAGAAAAGCAAAGGAACGGATGTCTGGCAATCTTAATAACAGATGGGCTATGATGTGCTATATCTCCATTTAAAGTTACGGTTTGGAAACTGTTTGCAGCCGCTTGTTAGCGTGAACCATTACATGAGCGTCTTGACCATTTCCAGTGTTTACCGACAAGCGACACCAGTGAGAGCCAGTGAAGTTTTTATTGGTCCTCAAGACATGTCGGAGCTATCCATTTGTTTACGCTCAGTTAAGAAATATTTTAAAAACACATTGTTATTTTCTTCGTATTTTTGTTGAGCAAACGCGAGGTGTTACCATTCTTTGTTCACGATTAAGCTGACGTTTCGGCGGATTTCGCCTTCTTCAGAGCCTGGAAAGGTCAAGTTGATAGCAACTCACTCGGCCAGACGCCTCCATAACCAAACAAAGAAACTCCAAACCAAGATTTCAATCACTTTGAACACAGCTTTGCACACT